GCCTCACACAGCTCCGGGGCGTAAATAAAGGCCTCCTGTAGAGAATCCATGCGTTTTTGTAGAAAAATATACATATGTGTCCCTGCAGCACAAAATCAGTCTTAAGTCGCTGGGGTATATTTGTAGCAATAGCCAACAATACATTGTATGGGTCAAAATTATACATTTTTCTTTTATGCCAAAAATCATTAGGATATTAAGTAAAGATCATGTTCCATGAAGATATTTTGTAAATGTCCTACCATAAATATATCAAAACTTAATTTTTGATTAGTAATATGCATTGCTAAGAACTTCATTTGGACAACTTTAAAGATGATTTTCTCAATATTTAGATTTTTTTGCACCCTCAGATTCCAGATTTTCAAATATTGTCCTATCCTAACAAACCATACATCAATGGAAAGATTATTTATTCAGCTTTCAGATGATGTATAAATCTCAATTTTGAGAAATTGACCCTTATGACTGGTTTTGTACTCCAGGGTCACATATATCAAATGTAATAAACACTTTTCTCTCACTTCCGGTATCTGTCGTATGCGGAAGGCGTTCCGGAGGATGACGCAGCACGTATGCGCAGCGCGCGCCTCTGAGATATGCTAATCTCGCGGGGTTGTTTACAGGAGCAAGGGAAGCAACATTTTCTTACTTTAGCAAAGGAAAACCAGTCTCCTCTTGGCTTATATCGAAATCCTCCCACATTCTTCTGTACAAATCCTCGGTTTGTACTTCTAATTCATGACCGGCGTTTTGTTTTGTTCTCTCTCCGCGTTCGTCACTAATCACGCAACGCCGACGTGCTACATCATCCGCCAGAACGCTTTCGCGTACCACAGTTAGATGAAGTGAGAGAAAAATGAGATTCCAGATTTTCAAATTTTGTCCTATACTAAAAAACCATACATCAATGGAAAGATTATTTATTCAGCTTTCAGATGATGTATAAATCTCAATTTTGAGAAATTGACCCTTATGACTGGTTTTGTACTCCAGGGTCACATATATCAAATGTAATAAACACTTTTCTCTCACTTCCGGTATCTGTCGTACGCGGAAGGCGTTCCGGAGGATGATGCAGCACGTATGTGCAGCACGCGCCTCTAAGATATGCTAATCTCGCGGGGTTGTTTACAGGAGCAAAGGAAGCAAAGTTTTCTTACTTTAGCAAAGGAAAACCAGTCTCCTCTTGGCTTATATCGAAATCCTCCCACATTCTTCTGTACAAATCCTCGGTTTGTACTTCTAATTCATGACCGGCGTTTTGTTTTGTTCTCTCTCCGCGTTCGTCACTAATCACGCAACGCCGACGTGCTACATCATCCGCCAGAACGCTTTCGCGTACCACAGTTAGATGAAGTGAGAGAAAAATGTGTATGACATTTGAAATATGGATATTTTTCTTACAAAAACACATGGATTCGCTACAGGAGGCCTTTATTCACGCCCCGGAGACGTGTGAGGCACATATTATTATGGATGTGCGCGCTTTATTTGACGTCTTGTGGATTGTTAAAAAAAACACCCACCCACTGCGATGATAGTGTCAGACTCGGCTCCGTGTTTTGTGTGTGTTTTGCTCCCTGATTGTTTCCAATTTGATTCCCGGTGTGTCTGGTCTTCCCCTGATTAAGTTGTGTACTTAAGGAGTGTTTTGTTCAGAGTTCTTTGTCCGGTATTGATCGTCTATCCCCGTGTCTTACGTGTGCTTTCCATGGTGTAAATAAAGTCTGTTATTCTGGATTCTTCCTCGTCTCCTCGTTCCTTCGTCTCCTCGCTCCATCACAGCGATCGTGACAGATAGAGCTTGGAAGAGCCAGGACAATTTTTAATATACCTCCGATGATCACACCTAGGATGCCTCAAGGGTGAGTAAAACACAGGCTAATTTTCATTTTTGGGTGAACTAACCCTTTAAGGTCTGGTTTTTGTCAAATTGCCGCAGCGTCTCGCGTGTCTTCAGTTTCAGATGTAGATGATGGCTGACCCTGATGACGTGTCCTGCACATTACGCTGTCAGACTGATTTCAGTTCATAATGCGTTCGCTCGTCTGCGTCTCGTCTCGTTGTTGGCGTCTGACCGGCTGTCAGGCGGTTCTGCTCCTGCGAGTCCGTCGCCTCGTCTCTTTGTTTGTCACTTCCGCTGCTCTGGAATTGAAACTAATGACATTTTAATTGTCCTGAAAAGGGAAGATGATGAAATTGTGGGTTACGTGTGAGCTGTCGCTCAGAAATCAGACGGACGCTTCTCAGTCCATTCCATGGTTTTTACTTCAGTACGAAATATAATGTATTCACATTTATGCTTTCAACAAATGCTTTTAAACCAAGAGAGAAAGAAACCTCAGTGACGTCCGTCAGTCCAGAATTCAGCATGCTTTTTAAAATCTTATAGTTAGAACACAAATGGTTTTTATATATTTCTTGTACTTGCTATAAACGGCTGTTTCTGCGTTCTGTTCCTGTGAGAGTCAATAAATGCATGTTTTGTCATGTAAACACAGGCCGGGTCATTGCAGTCTCAGTCTTTCGTCTGGTTCACGGTTAACAGAGACGTCCAGAAATCTTCACACGTGGCCTTTCAGGGAAATGTCAGTGAGTTTCCCGCCAGAGTTTTCACTTCATCGCCTCTGCGTCGCTCTCTGGTCCTTCTCAACATCTCACCGAATCAGTGTTTGATTGATAAAGCATCTTCGTCGCTCATCAGCGGAGCTTCTGTTTCAGTTCATGAAGACGTTAGCCAGCGCTGGAACGCTGCAGTTAAACACACAGTTATGAATCTTGTTCTGGAGAGAGATTTTAACTGCGAGCAGAAGCATTCACAGATATTCAGGCATTAGTGTGTGTTACTGAGTGTATGGGTGTGTGTGGGTGTGTGTTACTGAATGTATGGGTGTGTGTTACTGAGTGTATGGGTGTGTGTGTGTGTTTGTGTGTACTTCTGTCTGTGTGTGTGCGCTTCTGTCTGTGTGCGTCTGTCTGTGTGCTTCTGTGTGTCTGTCTCTGTGTGTGTGTGTGTGTGTGTGTGTCTTTGTGTGTGTGTCTTTGTGTGTGTTTGTGAGTGTGTGTGTTACTGAGTGTGTGTGTGTGTTACTGAGTGTGTGTATATGTGTGAGTGTGTTTCTGTGTGTGTGTCTTTGTGCTTCTGTGAGTGTGTGTGTGTGTGTTTCTGTGTTTGTTTCTGTGTGCGTGTGTGTGTTTCTGTGTGTCTTTGTGTGTGTGTGTGTTTTTGTTTGTGTGTGTTTGTGTGTTACTGAGTGTGTGTATATGAGTGTGTGTGTGTGTGTCTTTGTGTGTGTGTGCTTCTGTCTGTGTATGTGTGTGTGTGTGT